TACACTCCCTAAATTCATGTTCATGTATGTGAATTTATAATCAACTTTTCACAAGATTATTCTCAGAAATATTTATCCACGTGAAATACATATGTGTTTCCTAGTACTGAAAACTAACTTCAGTGAATGGTTCATAGAAATCCTAAGATTTCTACAGTAACTGACCTTGTTTAACATCAATGCAAGTAGACTCCTATGGGCCATGATGTGTATTTTGACATTCATTTCTATTTAACACTGGTATATTACTATTTCTTCAGTTGATGCACATCATAGGATATATATTTCAACCTCAAGTTCACAAATTTCTAGGCATTTGGCTCAGTTTTAATAGAATCCTGCTTCAGAACGCATGTATTCCTCCATGTTTCTTGACTGGTCTTTTCATGAGGCTTCTTTCCAAACACATTATTTTCCATTTCTATAATCAGTTTTGAAGCAAAACTCACACACCTTTCATGGTAAACCATAACCCTAATATTACCATTATATGTATAACTGCTTGGAATGAGTGATTGTGTATCAATATAAGATTTCCTATATATTTTCAGTTATCAATTCAATCCATTATTTAAATTGGAACCAGTTATATTCTTTATTCACAGTATGGTCTATTCATGCATTATCTCTATACTCATAGACACAGGGTAGACCTATTTGTAACCCGAATGCTAGTTTATATATCTTCAACATATTGCTCCCAGAAATGGTGGAAGAAATACTCATGTCACCTGATCTACATATACATTTTATCACTGTGATATTCTGGACACAAAATGCAAAGGTCACACTTATGATTGTACCAAAGCCTAATTGGAAAGTGAGCATGGATTATTAAAAACATCCTTGTCCTGGTTGCCTAATGCTCTCAAATGTCAATCCTATTGGTGACTACACATTTGTTTCTGCCTAAGATTATATATTCAACCTCAACCCTGTTAAAAATGTCTAATCCGACACTCACTTTATACTTTGCCTGATTTCCTAATGTCTATATTCATATCTGCTTTCCTACATATTTTCCCCACTTCATCATTGTGACTGACTCTTCACATGTGCTGATATTTACATTCACTCTCTAACAGACACCCTATTGCTAAAGAACTTTCGGTCCAAATTTTTACTCACTGTTATTCCTAAACCTACTGACTATCTTCCTAATCCTACCTACTATCCCTTTTTGACTTAATGTTCTCTTCTACATTCAATCATCCAAGGTACAAGGTCCTAAGCTGTTGTATATGGATTTATCGGAGACATCTGTACAGAATGTAATTCAAAGCTAAGTATCCCAATCAAGGGCCCAATGCTCTTCTGGCCTTCAAATCTTAGTTCGATTTCTGTTTCCATACTTATATTTCGCTCTATATTATTATCAATATCAGAGGTTCCCAATACCATTCTTCATCCAGCAGAATGATTCCTAACCCAAATTGAACATGTTCTTAACCCCAAACATACATGGTTCCCTCAATCTAACTTTACAGAAGAGCAGGGGAAGACTTGGTCTTACAATACAGGAATGTAGAGGATCTTCCACCTGCTAATAATCTCAAAGGTACATGCAGAAATGATCCCTGGAGAAGGTGTAGGCAGCTAGAAAGGACCTGAGAGAGCAAAAGTCATCTTATAAGGTTAACAAGCTGGTCAGGATGAAGGGATGTGTCTGAATGTGCCTCTCTCTCCTTAATGTAGAGAAAATGGACCAAACCAGGCCTGTGTGGAGA